ATTCCCATCACTGGTGGCAGGGCCGTATACTTCACTATAAGCTCTATAACTTTTATATACTATATCCTCTTTGAGTATTGAGGTAATAAGTTCAAACATTTTTCTTCAAGTTTAGCCATCGTAATGAATTTCACAGTGCAGTACTGACATTGGGATTGAACAAACCGGGCTGAACATCAGGCTACAGATGTCACATAAATCATTGTGTCAAAGAAAGAAACTATATTATTTACTGATACAGAAAAAAATATTATTTCATAATTTAGAATTGCATTATTTTAAATAGATCTACCAAACTTAAAATCCTATCAGCAACCAATCAACCCAGCATTTGCAATATTAAAGTTTATTTAGGTAAACAAAATTAAATAACCTGGATAACCTGGATCCAGCTAGGTTTTCTGCAGCTTAAGCTAGCTCATATGCTCATTGTGTATCTTTTCCTACATGGTCAGAAATCATCACATGTTGCAGAAATGACCTTTTTTGTGACTGGGTGGTCTGGGTTTGATTTCTTTTTTTTCTTTTTTTTTTAATCTGAGTGACACCTACACTATGTGTTCAGAGTTTGTTGATTGGAAAGCAGATGAAATTCGATTCTGGCTCATCCTTGTTTAGCTGACAGCACCACGCCAAAGCCAGGGTCTTAGTAATGGCAGATTTTGCCAGAAATGTTGAAAGTCGATTGTGATGTGAAGACACAGGATGCGTTTTGTCCTGTTTTCCTCCTCTCACACCAACGGGTCGGGGCAGATGACCACTTCTCCCTGAGCTGGAGGATTTTTCATGTTAAAACAGAGTTTTTCCTTCTCACTGTCACCAAAGCTCTTACTCATAGGGGGTCATATGATTGTTGGGGTTTTCTCTGTTTCTTTGGATTAGTGTAGGGTCTTTAAAATATAAAGTGTCTCGCAGCAACTGTTGTTGTGATTTGGTGCTGTACTGACAAAACTGAACTGAGCTGATTCTCCCTCTGACCTGTTGTCTATGCTTATTTTAACAGAGGAGGAGGAGCTTCGTTTGCAGATCCCTCAGTAACAGCAGCAACATCAGCATCAGCTGTAGTGAGCTGGCCTGCAACACTCAAATAACTGATCTCCACCATCACGACCAGCAGCATCCCAGAACCTCTGAGTGAGACAACAGAAAAAATATAATCATTATCCAGCCTCAGTGCTGAGATGAAACAGTGTGATTAGTGTGTTTACACTGACTGTATAAACTGGGTTAAATGTGCACACAATAATGGAGCAGGTTAAAGGAAATGAATCCATACAGGCAATCTAATCTAAATCTAAACAAGTGCTAATCAGTATTTGATCAACATTAATGGACTCATTTTTATTAAAGACTCATGTGTTACAGTGTTTTTAAAAGATACATTATTAAAACTACATTATTATTGGAATACTGTCGTCTACCTTATTTTCCGCACTATAAGGCACACTTAAAATCCTTTAGCTTTCTCAAAAATCGACAGCATACCTTATAATCCGGTGCACCTTATGAATAAATTCTGGTTGTGCTTACTGACCTTGAACTGCTTTTATGTGGTACATGGCGCTCAAAAATCTGTCAAAAAAAGTTTTAGTACAAAGCTATGAAGCTGCACTGCTTGATGGATTGTCGGAGCATTTCGGCTACCATAGCCGGGAGCCTCGCAGAGTAGTCTGGGTCCAAAACTCCGCTTCAGGTCCCAAAGTCAAACGAACACTGCAGCATCACTGAGAGTTACAAACTGTCTAAATTCTTTCATCTTTAATAAAGTGATCAGTGTTGCCCCTTTACCAGTTGTAACAATTAAGTTTAACATCCAGGCATCCATGAAAACAGAATTTATTAAATTTAACTGAGTTAGAAGTTAGCAGGAAGTTGGTTTCCACCTAAACATGATATACCATGTTCTGAAAAAATGAAAACATACAGCTCTGCTATCACTTCCAACATAAATGAATTCAGAAAACTACATGTCATACAGTTTAATATCTATTATTGTGCTAAACGTCACATGTTACAACGAAAACATGCAAACCTTCGTTATTAACTGCAGCTTCAACATTGTGCTGCAAAAATGCATTTCCCGCAGTAACATTTCGACAATAACCTGTTAGTTTATTACAGCACAGTGTTAAATG